CCATTTCAAAAGGAGGAGAGGGAAGAGCTGCTGGGGTGCCGTGGGAAGCAACAGCAGTTGTTTACAAGCACAATTTGTTTACAACAATTGTGTTATTTATGTCCCACGGGTGTTGGGTCAGTCACCTTTGCCACTCAGTGAGAATCACCCCCCTCACTTGGCAGATAAGTATGTTTATTAGCAGCCTCAATTAAGGAAATATTTGTGCCATGTCCCACTGGGCATGGCTATGCTAATACTTCTCTCCCCTTTCCAAACCCAGTGTCTAAATCTAATTAGTTCTGAAAATCAACCCCATCAGGACAAGGCAGCTCTGCTGTCGCTTGCCCACAGCTCTTGGTAAAGGTTGTGTTCCACTGGAAGAGTTTTATTCTGACTTAAATCACATTTCTCTGAGTGGTGGGGAAAGGCTGAAGGCACTGAAGCCCTCTGCCTCTTGGGCTTGATGTTTTATTTGGGTGCCAAGACAACCCAAGCTGAAAAATTTTTTAAAATTCAGCTTAGACAGAAAAACTAAAAAACTAAAAAAAAAAAAACCTAAAAAAAAAAAAAAATCCAGTTTAGATGTAACTTCCTGCATGGCAGCAACAGCATGACTTTAAAACCACAGGTAGCCTGGGACTGCCAAGTATGAGTACCCAAACAAAAAAGTTTTGCCTCAGTGCCCAGCAAATCCAACCAAAATCATGCAACAGTAAGGAGGGGGAAAATCAGGATTTAATATCTTTATCCATGCAGAGCACAGGTTTTTAGTTCCTTAGAGATTATCCTTCCTGCTGTGCTGCAAAATCATAGAATAACAGAATGGTTTGAGCTGGAAGAGACCATAAAGCTCATCCAGCTCCACCCTCTGTCATGGGACATCTTCCACTATCCCAGGATGCTCCAAGCCCTGTCCAACCTGGCCTGAAATCTGTTGGTACAGGAGAAACTATCCTGTGTTTTAATGATACTACAGAAATACTACAGAAATTATTCTGTATTTTAATAATAATAATAATGCACCCATGATAACAGGTGCAAGGTACCCTTAAAACCAGAGTGGGGTTTGTTTGAATTAGAACTCACTGCTATTTATATACTATATAAATATTATATACTCACTGCTATTTATATAATACACTATTATATACTGTATACTATTATATACTGTATACTATTATATACTCACTGCTATTTAGATACTATATAAATATTATATACTCTGTTATTTATATACTATATAAATATTATATACTCACTGCTATTTATATCATATACTATTATATACTGTATACTAGTATGTAATATTGTATACTCACTGCTATTTATATATTGTATGAATATTATATACTCATTGCTATTTATATAATATACTATTATATACTGTATATTAGTATATAATATTATGTACTCACTGCTATTTATATAATATACTATTATATAGTGTATACTAGTATATAATACTATATACTCACTGCTATTTATATACTGTATAAATATTATATACTCACTGCTATTTATATAATACACTATTATATACTGTATATCAGTATATAATATAATATACTCACTGCTATTTATATAATATAATATTATATGCTGTGTACTAGTATATAATATTATATACTCACTGTTATTTATATAATATATTATTATATGCTGTATACTAGTATATAATATTATACACTCACTGTTATTTATATAATATACTATTATATGCTGTATACTAGTATATAATATTATACACTCACTGTTATTTATATAATACTGCCTATTTTTCCCCCTAAAGAAGCAAAGGATTGCTTCAAGCCTGGCTGCCTGCAACAGGGAGCACGTGGGACTCTCTCATTTGGCTCCCTATGGAAAAGCACCGAAAATCTGACAGCTAGAGAGTTCAGGCAAACTCTAACATGAATGAAAGGGCGATTTCTTGTAATGAGAGAGATCTGATGGAAGAGGTAACTCTGCAGTTTTGGGGCAAGGCAGGGGTCGGGCTGTGCTCCAGGGAACAGGGACAGGAAGGGAGGGAATGGCCAGGGCAGGCTCAGGGTGGACATCAGCAGGAATTTCTGCATGGAAAGGCTGCTCAGGGATTGGAGTGCAGTGCCCATCCCTGGAGGTGTCCAAGGAACAGCCGGAGGTGGCACTCAGTGCTCTGGGCTGGGGACAAGGTGGGCATCAGGCACAGCTGGGCTCATGGGCTGGGAGGGCTTTTCCAGCCTCAGTGACTCTGTAACACCCTCGGAAGGCTGAGTCCTTCAGCTGGGATCCCACAGCTGGGGGAAATCCCACCCAATCCCTTATTTTTGCTGTAAAACAGCCAGGAGAGAGCAGCCCCTCTGATGGGGAAGCCCAAGCACAGAGTCCCCCCATGCAGGGGATTATTGAGGCCTTAGGATTTCAGCTTTTCTATTTTTCCTGTATTTGTAATCCTGCAACTCTTTAGTGTATAACTCTAAACTCCATATAAAGTGTTCTTTACTGCTTTCCCATTTTGGTCACACACAATTCCTCTCCAGGCCTGGGAATCAAGGACACCCTGAGAGATGGAAACAAAAGTGAGCTGGGAAAACAAACTTGGGGTAAATGATTTCATTACCTGCAGCTGTAATTGAGAGATTAACTCCCAATATGCAAATGGCCCAAACTTATAGAAGTAGGAAAACCTTTGTCCATTTTTTGGCTGTAGCTCCTGAAGGCCCTTCAAGAAATAAAACTGCTTTTTATGCCCTTAATACTGTCTGGCCTTTAGGTAGCACAAAAATCACCATCAGCTACCCAGAGCAGCACCTGGGCTGCAGCTTCCCCCAGCTCCAGCTGAGCTCTGCCCACCTGAAAACACCAGCAGGGAGCTAAAAATGATTGGAGAGCTTTCCACACCAGGGCTGAAGCTGAGGGAAATGTTTTTTGGTGTGTGGATAGGTGTGAGTGGCACTGAGCAAGCGTGTGCCAAGGAGCAAAGCAGATTTGTTATTCTGGACTGTCATTTCCCATCATCGTTCTCTTTTTTGAAGGCATAATTATCCAAACATGTGGTTTTTAATACTTACAATGCTCATTAACTCCACATTTGCATGTCTCACCATTCCAGCTCTCACACAGTACCAGCTCACAGCTAAGAACATTGAACCTCCAGCTTTTGGGGGGGGATAAAACATCCAAAAAATGATACATTTGCCCAATTTTACAATTTCATTTTGATGTTGTGTCTCAAAACTTTCTGGGCCATGGCCAGCAGGACTGTGTTTCCATACCAAGGTGCCTTCAGTACTCAGTTTGATCAGTAAGATAAAATATCCTCAAAGTAGACAGGCCCTACAAAACCTTGATCTGTAAAACACAAGGGAATTCCAGATATTTGTTCCTCTGCTGCAGTTTAAGAACAGGTAAATAAAAACTCACAAGTTTCTCAAGCACTAAACCTGTAGCAACAAACACACCTGATCAGAGGAAAAACAGGGCTGGGAGGTATAAAAAGCAAATAGAAAATTGAAAATTATTAAAGTGTCTTTGTGGAAAAAAGACAACCCCAAGACTTATGAATATCTGACAGCCACTCTCTGTCTTTTCATATTTATTTGAAAAGACAATGAAAGGATCAAACCAGCCAGTTTAGCAGCTCTGAAAGGCAATAATTTTACACTTGGGCTGAGAAATGAAATAAAATTATAGTTTAAAAAAAAAAAGCTGCCTTAACAAGCTGGAATAAAACCCCACTTTTGTTTCCTGTGCACACTTTGGCAGGGAGAGCCAGGCCCCCAGCAGCAGCCTGGGCTGTAATTGTGCAAAAAGAGGCTGGTGATATAAATCACCAAAGGTTAATGATCAGGATGTGAACAGAGGGACTTGTTTACAGAAATAGCATGCAATTTAAAATTTACAAGAGATTTAATGCCACCGCTTGGCAATCACTAAAATCAACAGCCCAGAAAACAGTGACATTAAGAAAAATATTACAGTTCTAATCATTCCAAAATAAGTCAATTAGTGTTAGGGCATGAGCTGGCGATTACTTGACCCATTTGGTTCGCACTTAAGTGAAGAGAAAAAAAAAATCCCCCTCCCTTATAGCGAGATTACTGAGTTGTGACCTATTTTGCATTCCCTGTTCCTTCCACCATCCCTCTTCCATGCTGCTGGAGATGCTGCTGGTGGGGTTTTTTCCTCCCCCTCCCCTCCTCCTTGCTTGGTTTGCGAGTCGTTCTGACCTTTGACATTTGTAATAATAATAAAAAAAAAATATATATATTAAAAAAAAAAAGGGAAGTTTGTAATTGTGTTGTTTGAAGGTGGAGAGGGGAGGGGGGGGAATAAATACATAAAATTCCATGTGCTATTATACAGAAGGCATGACTGGTGCCTTGGGTGGGGGAAAAAAACCAGCAATGTAAGTCAATTTGTGAACTTTGGCACTGGGTGACCTTTAGAAATACAACAATATCCAGAATTTACAAGCAAGAGTAGCACATGCAAATGACCCGGCACTGTCTCGCCTCTGGATTAGAGCTGCAAAGAGCATTATGGAGAAGGCTTGCACAAAACAAATTAAGATTGTTACTTAAATGTCATGGCACACTATTGTATTTGGCTACAGATCATTACACCTGATACTAACACTTTTAAAAACCGTAATAACTTGGGAAATATTACATTGAGTGCCCACATGGAGAAAGGGAAAATATATATATATGTATCTCTTAAAAAAAAAAATAAATAAAAGGAGAAAATGGGTTCCTGAAGTAATTTAAACATCACCACTCCACGACTAGAGGGAAAGGTCAAAATTTAAGTAAGCTGAAAGGAACATGAATGGCAAAACAAAAGGCACGAACAGAGAGATGAAAAGACCAAGTGGAATGACTCTGCAAACACGGGGTGGAAACAAACACGCATGCTTGGGGCAAATCTCATCTCCAGGGGCACAGGGAGAGGGGCAGGGAGGGTGAAATTCTGCAGAGGTGGGTTAAAAAAAGGGGGGGAGAGAGGAGGTGTTTGGCTGGGACAGGTGGGGTTGTTACCTTCGGTGTTGGTGCTGCTGCTGCTGTAAATATTTCGCAGGCTACCAACACGGTTTAGTTTCCAAGCTTTGCGTTTGGCTGCGTCCAGAGAGCAGGAGGGGAAGAGAGAAAAAAAAAAAATAATAAAAAAGAGAATAAAAATAAAGAAAAAAAGAAGGGGAAGGAAGAAAAAAAAATTTTTTTGTTTTTTTTTTTTTCAATGAAAAAGGGAAGAAAAGAAACATCAAAAAGCATGTGAAGTAAAATCCAAGCACGAGCCTGTTCACACGTGAAGAGCTACACACAGAAAATGCACACAAGGACCACTCAGCCCCTGCAATCCATGGCCAGTGTGGAAAACCTCATATTCAGAGTGATTCTTCTTTCACTCACCACAACATGACACGATTTGACAAGATTAAATGGATCTGCTATTGGAATAGACAAAAACAGACCAGTAGAAGTCAAAAGAAAAAAGAAAAACCGGCAAAAAAAAAAAAAAAAAGGCAGGAAGTATTTGTGCAGAAGATACAGGACTGGACAAAACAGCTACTGTAAAATGTGATTTACTTCATGACAAAACACAGCCAGACAAGAGCTCCTTTTCCTCCAAAAGCCTGTGGGGATCACTTGGTGCCTGGAGTTCACCCTTGGACCTCCTTTTTACATCACCCCTTTGGAAACAGAGGTGATGATGTAATGACCTTAAACCCTCATCCCAGCACATGTCCTTTGTAGCACTGAGCTCAGAGCAAGCAGAACCATAAAATAAATCCCAGAATGGTTTGGGTTGGAAGGGACCTCAAAGCCCATCCTGTTCCACCCCCTGCCATGGGCAGGAATACTTTCCACTATCCTAGGCTGCTCTAAAAAACCTCCCCCACTGCAAAATCAAAGTGTTTATTTGGAAAGGAGGGGGGAAAAAAACCCTATTTTTTACATAGAATAGCAGCACCCTTGTTTTATCAGAATTGACCCAAACTTTGAGATCCTCTGAGCTGCTGCTTCTCAATGAGTAGAAAATCTGGCTCAAAACCAGATTTCTCTCAGGCTCATTAGGGACAGCATATTGTCACCCTCTTTAGAATCTTGAAGTTTGGCAGGGTTTTCTCACACAGAAACCAGATGGAACATCTGAGAACACCAGGACACCTGAGAGCCACTGGAACAACAGGGAAGTGCTGGAATTGCCTTGTCTGGAAGTGTGTAAATGGCATTTGGATGTGGGACAGGGTACGGTGGTGCTGAGCTGGTGGTTGGACTCAAGAATTCTCCTAAGGGCCCTCAGAGCCTTCTCCCTCCCACCACAGATGTCCCTCACCCTTTAGGACGTCATCCACACCCCACAACACAGCCAGTTTCAGGATACAATAATTTAAAAAAATTTTCCTTCAATATTTATGGGGGAATTTCTGTAGTGCCCCAGGGAGCTCAGACCAAACAGCTGCTGACAGGGAGAAGGAACAGGACACAAAAGTCATCCCAGGCTTTAACAGAAAGCTCCATTTTGAGGTAAAGAAATAAAGCTGGAAGAGCACTGCCTGAACCCCCTGACTGTTAAGCCAGGTATGATTTGAATAAATCTGCAGGTTTCAATGCTCCATGCTGAAGAGGAGGACACATTCTCAGTGCCATCACCAAATCTGAAAGTGCTTCCATTGGGTGCATCCTTCAAGGTGGAAAAAACCCTTTCATTTAAAGACCTGTTTAAGAAGTCTCTGCAATAGAGAGGCACAATTGCCCTGCAGAAAACTTGTTTTTCCTCTGAAGCATTTACATATAAATAGGCAAAATCGAGGTTTGGCATCCCTCTGAAAGGGAAGATGGTCTCCAGTGCACAGAGACCCTTTCCCAGAGCCTTTCCCATTTTTCACACTTTAATGGCACGTTTTGTGTGCAGGAGTGATCCTGCAGCCTGCTTTTCTATTAACCTATTGATGAAACAATCCATTTTAATGTGTTAAGTGTCAGGCCTTTCCCTTCCCTTTCAACAAATGGACTTTTCCCACCGAGATGCTGAGGTGCTGACACATCCACATGCATCCTCTGGGCTCCTGCCTGCTTCCTCCAGGTGCCTTTAAGGATTCAGTGATGCTTTGGACACTGCCAAGCAAAGGCTCTGCGGGGTGATTGATGTGCCAGGAGAGCAGAGCCATGCCAGCCTGCTGCCTCTGGAATGGCACACTGCTGTTAGCCACAGCCAGGCTGCAGCAGGCCCTGCAGCTCATCAGCTGCCTGCTTTGTCTTTCAGTCATCCCCCAGGATATTCAGTTTGTCTGCTCTGCCTTCACTGCCTGGGCCCCAAAGGAAACCCAGCAAAAGCTCTGCTGCCAGCTCCAGAGATATCTGTATCTATATCTATATCTATATCTATATCTATATCTATATCTATATCTATATCTATATCTATATCTATATCTATAATGTCTATGTCTATCTATATCTATATCTATATCTATATCTGCATCTATCTCTGTATCTATATAATCTATATTTTATCTATATCTATCTATCTATCTATCTATCTATCTATCTATCTATCTATCTATCTATCTATCTATATCTATACCTATATATCTATATCTATCTATATCAGTATCTCTAATCTATATTTTATCTATCTATATCTATATCTATATCTATATATCTATATCTATCTATATCAGAATCTCTAATCTATATTTATATCTGCATCTATCCCTGTATCTATATAATCTATATTTATCTATCTATATCTATCTATCTATCTATCTATCTATCTATCTATCTATCTATCTATCTATCTATCTATCTATCTCTAATCTATATCTATACCTATCTCTATATCATCCATATAATCTATATATATACATATCTATGTCTATTAGCCAAATCTATTTTTATATAATATATATGATTGAGGTTGGGGTTGGAAACCAGTATATTATATATATATATATATATATATATACACACATATATATTATATCTATATCTATCTATATCTGTGTATCCCTATATCTATATAATCCATATTACATATAGCTATATATCTATATAACTATCTATTATCCAAATAATTTTCTATATCATATATATAGAAAATATGTATTTTCTATAACATATGATATAGAATATAGACTTGGATATTTTTCATATATATATTATTGGAATATATGTATTTCATATATATATATATATGATTGGTGTTGGAAACCAATATATTATCTATCTATCTATCTATCTATCTATCTATCTATCTATCTATCTATCTCATATAGCTATAGCTATGTCTATATCCCTGTATCTACATAATCCATATAATCTATATATATACATATCCATGTCTATTATTCAAATCTATTTTCTATATTATATATATATAATTATGATTGGGATTGGGGTTGGAAACCAGTATATTTTACATATAAATATATAAAAAATATTATATCTATCTAACCCTATATCTATATAATCCATATTATATATAGCTATCTATCTATCTATCTATCTATCTCTATAGATATATATCTATATCTATATATCTATTTATAATCCAAATCATTTTTATATAATATATACAGAAAATATACATTTTCTATATATATGATATTGAATATAGATTTGGATATATTTATTATATATATATGATTGAAATATATATATTTAATATATATATGATTTGGTCTATAAACCAATATATGATATATCTATCTCATATATCTATAGCTATATCTATATCCCTACATCTATATAATCCATATAACCTATATATATACACATCTATGTCTATTATGCAAATCTGTTTTCCATATAATATATATATATATATATATATGATTGGGATTGGAAACCAGTATATTTTATATATAAATATATCTAAAAATATTATATCTATCTATCCCTATATCTATGTAAACCATACTATACATAGCTATCTATCTCTATAGATATATATCTATATATCTATCTATTATCCAAATAATTTCCTATATTATATATATGTAGAAAATATATATTTTCTATATATATTATATCCAATATAGATTTGGATATATTTCATAATTGAAATATACATTTCATATATATATATGACTGAAATATATATATATTTCATATATACATATGATTGGGGTTGGAAACCAATATATGATATATCTATCCATATCCATCATATCCATCATATCCATTTTACACCTGCACATCGCGGTGAGAAGAGCTGTGTTGGAACAGGAAGGAGGAAACCAAGGTCCAGCACAGCCTTTTGTAAGATATAGAGGAACTGGGAATCAATTAAACTTAATCACTCCCAATTACCACCTCTCTTTGTATTTCCTCAGGACATAACTTTACAGCTGTGAGCAGCCAGAATTTCTGTGTTTGCCTTCTGTAATGGGGCTGCTGTTTATCCTCTGCTAATGCACCTGATTGTCCTGCCCAGTTTTGATTACTCAGGTTTGCACTAAATGTGTTTAGTGCCACCACCATCCCCTGGCATTGCTCCCAAAAGCAGGAGGGGTTTGTGGCAAGGGTTTAAATCTACATGTGATCTGAGGACACATCTGTTTGTTACCTGGGAAGCTCTCTAAGGATGCTCATGATGCTACAGCCAACAAAACCCTGCGTTAACCCTTTCCAACCTGCTCCAATATCACTGCCTGGGATCTCTGTACAAACCACAAATGGGATGGGACTGCTAGGAATGTGCCTTGAGCTCTTCATCTTCCAGCACCAGTCTCATTCCATGGTTATGGCAAGGGGAAGATGCCAGCAGCTCACAGCCCCACCAGCAGACAAAGAACTGCATGTTACAATTTACTTTAAAAGTTTTGGACCCATCACAGAAAGCAAAAGCATATTGACAGTAGTTCTATCCAACCACTGTAAGCACACATACCTTCAGTCAAACAATATTGCTTATTTTGGATACAACACCTGCTTGCAAGCACTAAAATACAATGCACAGAGCTCCATTATTAAGCTTAGAACTTCCTAATATCTTGGCAGATAAACTTTTCTGTAGCTTAGGGAGGTATTCTAGCCAAGCATTAATACCCAGACCATTGTTCTATTTGTCCTTACTTTTCCACTTCTTATAAAAACTTTCTGCTGACAAATCT